GCTCGACACCGTCCATCAAGACATGGAAGCAGTTCTTGGACCTTCTATTCTCGGCCTCTGTCGCTGGCGAAGAGACTGGGTGGAGCTCTCCAGATCCGCAGCTGTCAATCGTCATGTATGGAGAGGTACCGTCCGCGACATCATTGAGGCCGGCTAGACCAGGCATGATCACAGCCGTAACAAGTAACAAGCCGTAACAGAACAAAGTCAAGAAGACCGGACGCGGGTCATTGGCGTGACGTGGGCCTGTGTCTAGACGTATCATCACACCTCCTATGTGTGGTATTTGCTGTGGAAGCGCATCGCCAATGACACCTGGCGTACCGTAATCTAACTCCCATGTTGATTCAGCACATGTATCGTGTGGCCGATTTCAGGCAAATAAATAGAGTTTAATAGATCACCCTTGACTGACAATCGCAGATAACATGTCAGACAATCGGAAAAGTGGACAAAGTGGTTTGGATGCATTTTCTGCCACTCCAATGCTACATGTCCCCCCCCCCTTCGAAAGAGAAAACGTCTCGATATTTTTGGGTTGACGGACCTTCGTCTTCATCAGTACATAAGAGAGTGGATCCCATTCACGAGATAATGACTTAGCAATAGAGGTAAAGTAAACCACAGGCTTCCAAGTGAAATGAAAACATTTACGAAGACGGAATTATATCCTCGTAGTCTAAAATTAGTTCGCAAGCAGTCATGCAAAGCAGACTGAAGAATGGCACTGGAATATAGAAATCCCGCAAAACCAATCGAAAGAAACCAAACATGATATAGTCGACAAAACCGGAAGGTGAGAGACTTCATTCAAAGTTAAGAGACGACCTCTACTGGAATAAAGACAAAAAGTGTACGGTATTATAAAAAATATTTAAAAACCATACAATTTTGCAAAAAATGATAATAGTATAAAAAAGGAATGAGACAGGCGGACTTACGTGATCGTTGTGGTTCAGGAACCACTCGTGCAGAACTGTCAGGCTGGAGGGTTGCCGCACGCCTTTGCCGTTCCATCGCCTCCTCCTCTTCTTCGGTTGGTAACCCCTTAGCCTTGCGCTCGATGTTTCGTTTGTAGCGGGCCAGATCATCATCAGTGACCTGACCAAACGGATTAGGCGAGAAAACGGACTGGAAGAGACCGACATTGTGTCGTTGATCTCGATTTATAATGCCCTTGCTCACGGCTCC